ACAAGGAAGGGAAGGGGTAACAATGATGGACAAGTAGTGTACTCATTGCCTTACTCATGGAACTAACCCCTCTGTACAGCATCTTAACAATAAAATTAAATAAAAAGACAATCCAATATGGTCATTGAAATTATGAATGAAATAATGAATAAGTGGCACCAAAGATAAAAAAAAAACTGCCCCCCACTCTTCACAGATGAAAAGGAGTACTTCCTGGGTTGGGAAATGCCATGTACTTTATGGTCACAGGAAAGACTTTTGCCATCACAGGAAGAAATTAAAACTAGTGTTAATTTGAACTAGTGTTAATATGAACAAATTATGTATAAATGGCAAAAAAATCTTTTACTATTTGCAATTACTTCAATATACTAGTTTGAACTCAGCCCAGGCAGACCCATCTGGGAGACTCTCATTTCCAACTGTCCAGCAAAAAGCCAAAAAAAAGTGAAAGTGTGGTTCAAATGAGAATGGGCCAGCTTGAATGAAAAGCTGAGAGCACAATATTAGCACACCAAAAAACCCCAAACAATTCAAGATAATTTAAGATGTCTCCCTGGGAATGATTCTTTTGTTTGGTTTTTTTTTTTAACTGTATTTTTTTTGTCTTTTCTTTTTTGGTACTGGGGATCGAACCCAGGACGTTGCACTTGCTAGGCAAGCGCTTTGCCACTGAGCTACATCCCAGCCCTCCCTGAGAATGATTCTTAAATACTGGCATGAGAAATGAATTCCAGTACTTACCAGCAATGACACCTGAGGTAACTGTTGCAATTATTGGTGTTTTGGTCCTACTATTGATTTTGGACAGAGATTTAAATAGCAGTCCATCTTCAGCCATGGCATAGATAACTCGGGGCATGGGAAACATGGAGCCTAGAAGACTGAGTGGAGGAAAAGACAAAAACATGAGTGAAACCTCTTCCTAGCCACAAAGACATCCTATGTGACCATACTTCACTACTGTAGATTGAGCACCTTTTTCTCACCAAGAACTACTTCCATGATTCTGCATGATGCCCAATGGCTCTAAGACCCAGCACTTAATAAACAAATTCCAGAGAAAACACGTATGTGTGAAACAAGACAAACAAAGGGGGATCAGCTCATGCAAAGTAGCATGTAAGCTGGGTGCCAATGGCTCACACCTGCAAATTTAGCTACTCAGGAGGCCAAGACCCACATGACTGAAGTTTGAAGCTAGTCCAGGCAGAAAAGTCCATTAGACCCTATCTCCAATTAACCATCAAAAAGCAGAGCTGGAGGCATAGCTCAAGCAGTAGAGCACCAGCTGTGACCAAAAAGCCAAGGCCTTGAGTTCAAGCCCCAGTAACGATACACACACACACACACACACACACACACACACACAAAACAACAATAACAAAAACCCCAGCACAACAAATACACCCACAGGGGAGAAAAAACAACAACAAAGTAGCCAGTGCTAGTGGCTCAGGCTTGTAATCCTAGCTACTCAGGAGACTAAGATTGCAGATTCATTGTTCAAAGCCAGCACAGGAACATAGGCAGGAAAGTCTGTAAGACTCTTATCTCCAATCAGCCACCACAAAAAAGCCAGAATTGGGGGTTGGGAATGTGGCTGAGTGGTAGAGTGCTAGCCTTGCATGCATGAAGCCCTGGGTTCAATTCCTCAGAACCACATATATAGAGAAAGCCGGAAGTGGTGCTGTGGCTCAAGTGATAGAGCACTAACCTTGAGCAAAAGAAGCTCAGCGACAGTGCCCAGTTCCTGAGTTCAAGCTCCAGGACTGGTAACAAAAAAAAGCCAGAACTGAAGGTCTGGCTCAAATGGAAGAGCACTAGTTTTGAGCACAAAAGCTCTGGGACAGTGCCCAAGCACCTGAGTTCAAGTTTCAAGACTGGCAGCCAAAAGAAAAGAAAACAATAGCATGTGATCCCAGGAGTAATACGTATGAAGGAAATTTTTGCACTTATTTCTGAAATGATTTCAAGCTAACTGAAACAAAATTAAAGCATTACTGCATTCGTATTTCTTTGTGGCAAATCAATATTGAATAAATAGTTGCTATTTACATAAGCTATCAGGAAATACCAGGGGCTTCTCACTAAGAGAGGCTTACAGCCTTCCTCAGGAGCCCCTGCTTTACAGACAAACCAAGGGCCAAAATGAGGAACAGAGCCTGTGTGGCTTAAGTGGTTAGTGGAAGGGTACCAGGGGAAAGGATTGGGGCTGGGAAGGTGGCTCAAGCGGTAGAGCACTTGCCTTGCATGCATGAGGCCCTGGGTTCAATTCCTCAGCACCATATAAGCAGAAAAAAAAAAGCCAGAAGTGGCGCTGTGGCTAAAGTAGTAGAGTACTTGCCTTGAGCTGAAGAGCTGAGGGACAGTGCCCAGGCCCAGAGTTCAGATGCCATGACCGTACCCCAAAAAAAAAGAAAAAGAAAAAAAAGGGAAAGGACAACACCCAGCTCAAGCTGAAAGAAAAAGCCAGGAGCCAGTGGCTCACACCTATAATCCTAGCTACTCAGGAGGCTGAGATCTAAGGATCACTGCTCGAAGCCAGCCCAGGCAGAAAAGTCCCTATGAGACTCTTATTTCCAACGAGCTACTCAAAAACCAGAAGTGGCACTATGGCTCAAAGTGCTAGAGCTCTAGCCTTGAGCAAAAAGAGCTCAGGGACAGTGCCCAGGGAGTTGGCATTGTGGCCACAACCAACCAAAAAAAAAAAAAAATTAACTTGGAAGTGGGGCTATGGTTAGCCTTGAGCAAAACACTAGCCTTGAGCAAAAGAGCTCAAGAACAATGCCCAGGCCATGAGTTCAAACTCCACATCCAAACAACAACAACAACCACAACCACACACACACACACACACACACACACACACATGCAAAGAACAATGCCCAGGGCCTGAGTTCAAGCTCCACAACCGAAAAAAAAAAAAAAAAAAAGAGGTGGTCACATAGTGAGGGTTAGGGTTAGGATGTTGGTCTGAATTCAGGGGAAAGGGAATATATATTAACAATTGATCTGTATGCCTGGCTTCCTGGTCTACACAGCCTCCAACCTCCCAGTAGCACCATACTTCCCTCTCTTTACCTGGCAGACAGTGCACAGAGGGAGCCCACAGCCACTGCGTACTTAGCGGCTTCCCAGTGAATGTACTCGAAGGCAGCAGGCAATGGGCTGTCTGGATCCAGGCAGAAATAGGGCATCATGAGCGTGAGGGCGGCCGAGACCCCAAAATAGGCAATGAAGCAAATCAGGAGGGATGCCACAATGCCCACGGGGATCGCCTTCTGAGGGTTCTTGACTTCTTCACCTGGAAGCAGCAGAGAAATCAGCCGGGAGTACAGGATGGCAGAGGGATCACATTCCTGCAGGAAGCCCGCCTGGCACCAATAACCACCCTCAGTGCTCAGCCTTTGGACTTCTATAACTAAGGGATGGCCCTCAAAAACACACAGGGGAGGGTCACAGCCCACAGGCATTCTCAGCCTTTAAGACAGCTAAGGGAGAAACTTACTGCCTTTGGCAGAGAAAACCTGGGAGGCTTGAGGACTATGGCTTTATTAAAACCCACCAGGATGACACTAGTTTTCATGGCTTCCTTTTTCCCAGAGGGTACAGATATGTAATCAGGCCACAGCCATGCTGTCATGGTCTCACTCAGACATCAGAACCCTTACTCACAGGTACAATGCAGTTTCTCATAGGCACTGGCTCTCAGGGAAATGCTAATGCTGGGGAAGGGAGACTAGCAGGAAGCTAGAAATCTACAAACTACTCCAGTGTAATGACGAGTGGTCATTGAAAAGTGCCAACAGGGGAGTGTGAGTGCCACCTGTCTGCCAGGGGAGCAAAGGCATGGACCAGGAGGGAAGCTACCTGTGGTGGCGATGCAGTCAAATCCTACGAAGGCATAGAAACAGGTCGCGGCTCCTGATAGAATGCCAGAAATTCCAAAGGGCATGAATCCTCCATTACCTAGTGCGCTGGTATCACTAGAAAGAGCCACAGTCAAACACTTAAGACATCTGTTGTGTAGTCCTGCCTAAGGAACAGCAATCAGCTCCGGAAGATAAGTGATAGCCGATTACTGCCACACCAGGGGTCTCAGACCCTTGAGACACAACATTACAAACTCCATGGGTTGCAGGCCCCTCCAAAGTCCACAGCTATAATGGCTCTGATGGCTCTAACAACTAGCCCTTTCAGAAGCATCTGCTAAAGAGACTGGTAGGGAGGAGGCAGGTGCTAGGAGGTAGGGGTTCCAGAGAAAAATCCCCAACCACTGGGACTGTTCCTACATGCTCCTGACCAAGACTTTAGGAAACTGCCAGCCAAATGCACTGCTGATAACTACATACTAATACAGTTAGTGGAATTTCATGCATCTACTCTTAACACTTCTCTGATTCCAGTATCATAGTGACATCAATGCCTGAGCATTGATTAGGAGGGACTGGACACCTGGTGTTCCTCAGTGACCATGGCATGTGATGGCCAAGATCTTGGCGTGTGTCCACTCCCCAGTCTTTCAAGAGAATGGACACCAAGGGTTGTGTGTTGCCCAGTTCTACCCTCAGAAGCCTGGGCACCCTCTATTTTCCTTTCAATTCTCCTCTATTCTCCTGTGAGATTGTGTACACAGGGCAGCGCTGGCCAGGCAGAGAAGGGAAAAAAAAGATGGATATCAGGCTGGCTAGCTATCCTAGGCTATTCTTCTATGTGGGACTTGAGACATCACTAAATAAAGCCACCACTATAAATAAAGACCTTAGGAGGATCTCCATGTCACAGCAATTTAACTTTTTTCCCTGTAAGGAAAACAGAATTGCAGACAAAATTGAATCCTATTTATTATCCATCCTGGAACACTAAGACTCAACAGAAAATCTGTCAAAGAAGATTTAAAAAAGACATAACGTTAAAAAGATGTAATTATAGTGGGAGAATGATCCACTTGAAAATACTTTTTCCAAATATTAATATCATAGGAAGGCATTATTGAAAACAATTGGAATCACCAAGGTACCACAGAAAGGGGGGCGGGGGGGGGAATAACTCTCAGCACCTTGAGCTGTGGCTCTACTTCTCTACCACTTGGAGTCACTCTCCTCGATGTGGATTTGTCTGTTCAGATCTCAGCCTCCCAAGTCTGCTATGATAATAAACAAAAGCCACCTGCACCTGGTCACCCTGAGCTTCTGCTTTCTCATCATTTTCAGATGGAGTCCAGCAGACTTCTCAGCTTGAATGTAAAATTTAGAGATCATATAACCAAGTATGAGGAGAAAGAGATTGCTCAATGAGACTGACAACAGTCCCGAACCATAAACAAAAAAAACACACTTGGGCTGGGACGGTGGCTCTGTAGTCGAGTGCTTGCTTTGAGCTGAAGAGCTCAGGGACAGCACCTAGGCCGAGTTCAAGCCCCACAACCAATAACCAACAACAACAAAATACACTTGCCAGGTATGATGGTGGCACATTTGTAATCCCAGTTATTCAAGAGGCTAAGCCCCTAGGGTCACAGAGTCCCAGCCTGGACTGGGTAATAAGACTCTTTTCTCAAAGTCAAAACAGAACAATAAAAACAATACCTTCCACCCACAGTGACTGTGCACAAAGCAAAACAAAATAATCTAACAAAATACACCAAATTCTTAAAGGTACATATGCCAGGTACTGGTGGCTCATGCCTATAATCCTAGCTACTCAGGAAGCCGAGATCTGAGGATCACAATTCAAAACAGCCCAGGCAGAAAAGTGCTTGGGACTCATATCTCCAATTAACCACCAGAAAAACAGAAGTGGTTCTGTAGTACAGTGCTAGGCTTGAGTCAAAAAGCTCAGGGACAGCACCTAGACCCCGAGTTCAGGCCCCACAATAGATAGTCCTTCCCCTGCAAATAAAATAAAATAAAGATACACATTATCCTCACCAATTGTATTCCCTGATTGTGACATGGTACTAAATGCAAAGATTGGAAAGAACTGGCACATGCCAACAAACAGAAGAAAGAACTTACTTGCTCTGACAGCGAGATATATTCAAGAAATGCTCCTGGGTGACCTCACAGCCTGTTATATTCAAGTAATTGTCCTTGGTGAGTTGCCAGTTTTTAATGCATCCTTTCACAAATCCGGACACCATTATGAAGCCCAGGACCAGAACGTTGATACAGGTGAATATTTTGTTGACCATGGCTGACTCTTTCACACCAAAAGTTAAAACTCCTAAAAAAAAAAAAAAAAGGTACAAACAGAAACTTTAACTACATGCCAGGCAAGTCCTTTCAGGATGAGAATGGGGGACACAAAAATAGGGACAGGAAGGGAATAAAAAAGAAAAATCACCCAGCTCCAAAGACCTCTGACAGCCTCTGGGAATAGAGCTGAATGCACCTTCTCTCTAAGAGCAAGGACCTAAATAACCCAAGTGTGTGGGAAGCCTCATCATGCATCTATCTGGGTGGACGTTCTGGGTCCCCTCAGGAACTTAGGGCACCACCCACAGGGCTGCAGAAGTCTGAAACACAGTTCCATCCCCCTTCCATGGAGAACAAACAAGGCCCTGGGGCATAGGGTTAGGGCCTCGACCCCCACACCAAGCTGCTTCTGCTGTGGGAAAGACATTACAGGAAAGACATCTTCTATTGCTGAATTTATTTCCTCCAAGGAAAAATCACTTGGCTTAACTTCTTGGTAGGATGGGAGTTTTTCAGATGAGGAAATTATTTAAATATACTTTGGGACATTAGTCATGTTGGCAGTAGTAACTATTTGTGGTTTTGGAATAACTAACACAGATCTACATTAGTTTCTCTCTGGAATTCAGTGTATATAAAATAATGTCAACGCTAGATTCACACTAAGAACAAAACAACAATAAAAACCACCAACTAGTGAATTGGCACAGTAACCCCATGTACCACCTTAGGGTTTTCATGACATCTACATTGGGGTTCTTAAGTATCCCCCTGTGGCCTATGTGATAAGAAAAGGATTTACTACTGGAAATATGTAAGTCACTGGGTTATTTAAAGATAAAAGTCTCACGAACTTTTTTGCCTAGCCTCACTTGGAATCGTGATCCTCAGATCTCAGCTTTCTGAGAAGCTATGATTACAGACATGAACCAACCACCAGTACTGGCTGCCTTTTTATCTCTTAAAATAAAAACTGCAGTACACATTAAGTTGAATACTGAAATGTAGATATTAGGAGAGAATGGAGTAAATTAATCACAAAGGGGCAACATCATCATACTCTATGTTTTCTTTAGTGTCCTTCCCTCTCATGTTTATGAAAATGAAAATCTCACTACAGTAGTTCAAACTTATTTTCTGATACATAACTTTGCAAGCTGGACCAGAAATACTGCCAGGACTGATTTTGAGGGAGATTATTTTGATTAAATGTGTGTAAAGTAAGAAATGTTGTTTTTAAAACTTCTCTAAGATTCCCTAACCTCAAGAGATCAAGCTGCTTTCCAGCTTCATGTGCAGCTACCCAATACTCCTCAGAAAAAAAAAAAAATGCTATCCTGTGGCTAAGATTTAGACAAAAGTCAGTAACAATGAGCAGCCATTGTCAATGACAAGCAAGCAGTACCTCAAAGTCTAAAACCACAACTTATTGAAAGGGTGTTTTGGTGGCTGTTAGATGAAAAAAAAAAATCACCTGTTTTTCTTTCCTTTTATGTGTGTGTGTGTGCCAGTACAGGGATTTGAACTCAAGGCCCAGGCACTATCTCTTAGCTTTTTTGCTCAAGGCTAGCACTCTACAACTTGAGCTGCAGACCAGTAGCATTTCCTGGTTAATGGAAGGTAAGAATCTCATGGACTTTCTTGCCTGAGTTGGCAGTTCAGATCTTCAGATCTCCGCCTCCTAAGTAGCTGGAATTATAGGCATGAGCCCATCTATACAAGATGTCTTTCAATGCCCGGGGACACCTTAGTGTCTGAGGCAGAGTTCATTCCTGCACTTTCCTGGCAGACAAGTGACCATTTCATGTCTTTCCAAATGGCCACCCATTGATTCAAAAAGATTTTTTATTCGTGAGTTAAAGGTATAAAGTGTCCTCAGTGCTACCAGAATCTTACTCTGTGAAGAATACACATTTCAACAGCTATTGATTAGCCAGGTCAACCCTATGTGGACTATTAGAAGCCATTAGAGTAGAAACAAATAAATGAAGTTGTCTGTGCATTACAAAAACAGACAAAATAGGAAAGGGACTAAAGGACACAACAACAATAAAAAGCCCACAAAAACCAAAGAACAGAAACATGAACTTGGACTGCATCTCAGTAGTATAGCACGAGCATGGCATGGGTAAGGCCATGGGTTCCATACTTAGCAGAGCCAAAAACAACCCCCCCCCAAAAAAAACAACTTAATAGGAACCTGTCATGCTTGAATTAGATCTCTTTCAAGATGTGGCCCTTGTTCAGCAGCTCTGGAAAGCAATATGGATGTTCCACAAAAGACTACACACATAGAGCTCCCCTATGCCCCAGCAATCCTACTTTTGGACATTTACCCAAATGATCACAAACAAGGTCATAGTAAAGCTACCAGCACAACTATGTTTATTGCAACGTTATTCACCATAGCTAAGATATGGAACCAACCTAGATGCCCCCTCTGAATATATATACAATGGAATTCTTTGCTTCCATCAGAAAGAACAACATTGCCCAATTTGTTAGGAAATGGAAAGACTTGGAAAGAATTACCCAGTCCCAAAGAAATCTAGGGCCCATGGTTTCCCTTATTTGCAATAATTAGTATACATATAGGATATTCTTATCAGATGAGCTGAAAAGCTCAAAAAACATGTACAAATGACCATATAAGATGATGCTAAGTGAAATGAACCCCAAGATATGTACAAGAGGTCTCTTTATTGTTATTGTTTCAAATGTACCATGAGATTTTATTTTTTTGTTGTTGTTTCCTTTGTATGTTCTTTCCCCTATGGCATATCCCCTGTTGTCACTGTACTTGATTTTGGTACCCTGCATCTTGTATATACATTTGTCTAATCTGGAGAGGGGAAAGGGAATAACAAAATGCTGAAACAAAGACACAAGATGACCCAGTGCAACAAGGATACCCCACAGGACAGTCTACTGGAAACAAACTTTACAACTTGGGGAGGCCAGTGGAGGAGTGAGGGAGGTGGGGGAGGGAAGGGATAGCGGGACAACAAGGAAGGGAAGGGGTAACAATGATGGACAAGTAGTGTACTCATTGCCTTACTCATGGAACTAACCCCTCTGTACAGCATCTTAACAATAAAACAAAATAAAACAAATCTAGATATAACAAAAAAAATGTGGCTCTTACCTGTTAAGAGGAGAATTATAATCACAGCAAATATGTCGGGGTTTTTAGCGAGCACGCCAGGAACATTGAGGGCCATGTGCTTTCTGGAGAACTCCCCAATGCTTTTACCTATGAGCTCATCAAAGGTCGCACTCCAGGCTCTTGCCACACTTGACGTACCTGCCGCAAAACACATGGCAGCCAGTGAAGGGAAGTAGTTAATTTGGGTTCTCATCAGAGAGCTCTGCATGTATCTCATCCACACAGGGATCACAGTATAATCAGATCTTTCCACAGCAGTGAGACTGGAGTATGTGCTAAACAGAAAGGGAGGAGCTGGGGCTGCGATAGAAGTGAGTTTATGACTTACCTCATTCTCTATACATGGACTGCATGGTGTCCTGTGTGTTTTATGGAGTGTGTGTGTGTGTGTGAGATACATCCTGGTTTACAAGGGTGAACCCTGATTGAAAGTTAAATTTTAATGACTTTCCCCTCAAACAATGGTGTGAAAAGCAATGTGCACGCAGTAGATAAACTAGACTTTGAGTTCTGAATTAGATCTTTTCTAGAACCAGCAATATTGGTATGATCTTTTGCTGACAGCTCTGCAATGCTGACCAGGAAACATGAAAGACACTGCTTCAAAGGCTGGATGTGTGAAGGTTAGGTGAATAAACCACATTTTTTGCTTCTGGTATTTTCATTCTTTTCCAGTTGTTTGAGGCAGGATCAAACAAGGCTGGACTCAAAACTCACGATCCTCCTGTCTCAGAGGCCTTTCAAGTGCTGAGATTATAGGCATATACCCCCAGCCTGGCTTGGTATGTTCACCTTGAGTTCACTGGGATATAACCTATTATAAATGGAGAATACACACACACACACACACACTTAAAACAATGTAAGCATATATATCAAGATGGAAGTCTTACAGTAATAGTTACTTTTATGAAACACTCCAATACTATTTATTCAACTATACTTATTTGATTTCATTAGGGAACTAAGTATTAGCAACCACTTGAAAAACCCTTAGCAATGACTTAGGAAACCCTTGTTTCCTAAGCAGAAACCCCAGGCAGCAGGCAGGGCCGATGGCACCCATGCCCCAAGTGCTACTCTCTAAGGAGATCCACAAAGAAGCTGGCTTTCGGCTCAGCTTTCAGCCTTTCTGCCACTTTGGACTTGAACTAGGCTTATATTACCCAGCTCAGAATTGTGGTTTCCCACTGGTGAAACTCTACCTCTTCAATTCCAAGGGGGACTCCTGTCCCTCAGCACCAAGGAACATAAATAAGGCCCATACCATCACCATCACCACCCACTGCTCTCTTTTTCTCTTTCTTTCAATTCTGAAGACACGTCATTGTTTTCCAGTGGCTGTTTGTCAGGAAAAGTCACTAAAATTCTAATTTCTGCATACAGCATATTCCATTCTTCTCAGAGGGACTTGACCATGACCATGAACTGAATTACCCACAGAATATTGGCAGAGTGATCAGCACAATGATTGAACTTCATTCCTGGAGCTCAAGTAGAATATTTCCCCAACAACCCAAAGCTTTAGGCACATTTTATCCTAACAGCAATCTATGTGAATTCTCTCCATGAAGACCACAAATGAAAATAGTTTTCCTGTACCCTCCTCATTGAACTCTCAAAGTGGCCAGCTCACTGTAAGCAGGTTCCCAAGCTCCACCCTGCCTCTATGCCAGGAGTGCTTCAACCTTTCTTCCCAGCCTACACCCCCTTTCCATTTCTGAATCATTACTTTAAAAGAATTGGTGGGGGGACTGGAAAAACTCTTCCCCAGTAGCTAAGAAACAGAATAAATTTCCCTAATAGATTCATGGGTGTCACATAGGCAAATAGCACTCTGGCAAAGATAAAGCAGCCAACCTTCCATGCTCACTGTTTTGTTTTATACTTCCAGAGAGCGTAACAGTCTATTTAAAATAACTCCAGTCCCACTGGGAGACTTCCATGGGTGACTGCCATCTGTGGTTACAAGTTTTAACATTGTGTTGGGGGGAAAAAGCCATTATGAATTTTATTTTAGAAGTTATTATAGAGTAAGCTCTATTGGCTCTCAGCAAATGCTGCAGATGTTGAAAAGAAGCCCAAATACTAGACTGCCTACTGTCTGGGGAGGTAGCAGTGGTACCCTCAATGCAAAGATGAAGGACCCTGTCAGCAAGCTATCGATGGAACCGGGTATAAGGTTCTCTGAGAGTGGAGAGACTCATTGTATAAAATATACACTTAGAGTTGGAGATGTACTCAGAGGTAAAACATATTCACAAGGCTTTAGGTTCATTAACATCACAGCCTCCAATACATTTATATTCACTATTTAAATATTAGTTATGGCTATATCCCTAGTTAGTAAACACTTATGAACAGTGACTGTCACATTCTTTGATCATATCCTAATCTCCAGCAAAAATGCCTGGCATAGAGCATTAAAAAATGCTCTGTGTACTCAATAAATAATTCACGTGTTGATATAAATAGTAAATGCATGGATGAATCAATGAGTTGTCTAATTGGTTATTTTTACCTTGTGTGTGTTTGTGTGTGTGTGTGCGTGCGTGCCAGTTCTGGGGCTTGAACTCAGGGTCTAGACACTATCCCCGAGCTTCTTTCACTCAAGTCTAGTGCTCTACCACTTTAGCTACAGCTCCATTTCTGGCTTTTTAGGGGGTACTTTCTTGCGGGGTCTATCTTCAAACTGTAATCCTCAGATCTTACTCAGTCTCCTGAGTGTCTAGGATTATAGGCATGAGCCAGGAATGCCTAGCTTATTTCTACTTCTTTGTGTCTTTCTGCATGTCTCAAAGTTTTCTGTTGGTGACATATTTTCTCTAGTAATCAGGAAAAACACTGAGAGGAACAAAATTATTTTCTAGAATTAGAATGAACCTATTATTTCTAGGTCTCTTTAGTAAACAGGAATGGACTCAAGGAGGCCTGGCTTTATTGGCTTGATCTCACAGGACACAGAGCAGAGGACTGAACCCACAGTCAGCTCAATCACTCATAAAAGTAAAAGACAATACACTCAGGAGGCCTTCTGGGGAGACCCAGGCTCAGTCTTCCCAGGAAGGACATGGGTACGCTTGGTGGGATATGTAGAAGTAGGAAAAGACACAAGGGGATGGCGGACATGGACCTCGGGGCTGAGCTTGGGACCTACCGATGACATAGGAGAGGATCAAGTTCCAGCCAGTGATGAAGGCCCAGAGCTCCCCCACGGTCACATAGCTGTAGAGGTAGGCTGAGCCTGTCTTGGGGACTCGAGCGCCAAACTCGCCATAGCACAGGCCAGCCAGCACAGAGGCCAAGGCAGCAATCAGAAAGGAGAAGACAATGGCAGGGCCAGCATCCTCCCGGGCCACTGCACCAGCCAGGACATACACACCAGCGCCCAGTGTGCTGCCCACACCCAGGGCCACCAGGTCGAAGGTGTTCAGGCAGCGGGACAGCTGGCTCTCTTCCCGACTGCAGTCCACCACTTTCCGTCGCAGCATCTGGTGACCGAAGCCAAGCAGGACTTTGCACCCCATTGTGCTCTGTGTGTGTGCTGAAAAAGAAGGACAAGGGGTGCTTCATTGTGCCATGCTCTTCACCCACAAATCCTATCTTACTGTACTACTGAAACACCTAATGAAATCCTTTATAACCGTTTCTCGATACATTGCAGTTGTCAGAACCAGCGGTTGTAGAGCTCAACAACTCATCCAGAAATACATCCAGCTGCTTTACTCTGTGGTCTCTAAGCTTCCACATTTCAGTCCTTAGCCCAGAGCCTTCTGTAGACAAAAGTGCTCTAGCATAAGAAAACATACACAGGCCAATGATCGACTCTGCAATCACCTCCTACATAATTTATCAGGACATACTAGGCTATTTCCTATACAGTATTGCATTAATAGAAAGCCATCAAAACTATATATATATATTGTGTGTGTGTGTGTGTGTGCGCGCACGCCCGTGTGTGCCAGGACTCATGCTTGAATTCCAGGCCTGGGTATTTCCCTTTAGCTTCAGTGCTCAGGACTGGAGCTATACACTTGAGCCCAGCTTTATTTTTGGATTTTTGCTGGTATCTCAGGGATTTTTCTGCCTGAGCTGGCTTCAAACCTCAGTCCTGAGATCTCAACCTCCTAAAGAGCCACAGGAACCCAGCTTCAAAACAGTAACTTAATTACTACAACTCAGAGACCTTGATAGTAATGACAATGCTTTTTATATCTTTACAAGATCCTCTAAGTGCAAGTTTCTACTTTTAAGTTAACACACAGAGTTGGAGCTGAAGTAGAAAAGTGTTGAACTATATTCAGTAAAGACATTTCATACTGTCAGGCTTTAGGAAGCATTTTCTTTTGTGTCAATACAGATGCAATATGTGTGACCATCCTGATACTCAGACTGTGAGCACAGACTCACTGTCACTTGGGTTTTAGGTCACAGAGAACAGAAGGGAACTGTGACCCAAAGGAAGCTTTTCCTTCTTTTATGATGCAGATATGGGGCTTGAACTCAGGGCCTGGGCTCTGTCCCTTAGCTTTTTTTGATCAAGGCTGGCACTGTACCACTTGAACCATAGCTCCATGTTCAGATTTTTGGTGGTTAAGGAAGATAAGAGTCCCATAGACTTTCCTGCCCTGGCTGGCTTCAAACCACAATCCTTAGATCTCAGCTTCCTGAGTAGCCAGGATTAAAGGTGTGAGCCACTTGCACAAGGCTCCAAGATCAGCTTTCAAAGAGCTCTTTTGTGACAATATCTTCAGGTCAACAGTACCAACATCTAAGCCAAACAGGACAGCAGCCACCCTTGAGAATGTAGAGATTTATTTCCTTTCTACTCTTGGAGAGTAGTTCCATAGACTGATCTCCTTTTCCAGGGCACAGTATAGAAAGGTGAGCAGAGCAACCACATAACAGATAATCATGACAAATTTGGCCTCGGCTAGGCAGTCAGAATCAACAGCTCAAGGTGCATCGACAGCGTGATAGACCATGAGGCACCGGACTTGTGTGGTCTGCCTCTCTAAAACTCATGATCTTAGCCTAATTATGAGGAAAGTATGACAAATTAGTTATGTGACTTTCTATAAAACACTTGATCAGCACCCCTCAAAACTATCAAAGAGAAGAATCTGTCATTAACAAAGCAACCCTAAAGAGGTGTGATGAAGCCTAGTGCCAGTGGCTCAGGCCTATAATCCCAACCATTCAGGAGGTACAGACCTGAGACTTGTCTCTAATCAACAAGCAGAAAGCTAGAAGTAGCAGTGTGGCTTAAGTGGTAAAGCACCAACTTTCAGGGAAAAAGCTAAATAAGGGATAGTATTCAGGACCTGAGTTCAATAGTCAATAATGGCACACACACAAAAAAAAAGATGTGATGACAGATAGATGCAGTTTGAGACCCACAGTGGAAACCTGAGTAAGGTATGAATTTAGTGCAATGCAAACATTGGTTCATTACTTGTGCCTACTGCAGCACACCAATGTAAGGAACATAGCAACTCTATTTTTTGTAGATATATAACTATTCTCGTGGAGCTTATTTAAACAACAGTGCAAAAATAAGCTATGGTCTTGACTTTCGCATTTATTATAATGGATATATTGTTTTATTTTGCTTTTTGGTTGAGTGTGTCCAAGGATGGCGTATGAGCTCACAATCCTCCTGCCTCAGCCTCCTGAGTAGATTACAGATTTGCCCCACCATACTCAACGATATCACTAATAGATATTTTATTGCCCTAACTTAGGCACAATTAAGTAAATGACAAACAAAATAGTGCTGATGGTGACCACAGATTGGGAGAGAAGTCCGGGCCTGCCCATACCTCTGTAGTACCCAGTCATGTCTTGGGCTCAAGCATGTCTCAGGCTGGCTCAAGCCATGAAAAAAAGTGGGTAATTCTTCCTGTATTTTCTCTGAATGCTCCAGGGAAGAGAAAAAAATCCCAAAACATGCCTGGGGAACCCCCTTTTTACACTGATAAGGAAAAGTGAGAGGGCCAAATGTTAAACAAGGTCATGGCACTCTGAAGGCACAGGTGGCCAACTGCCCACCTGGGGTCTTAGCAGCCCTGCTTGTGGGAAGGAAATGATGTCCTGTGTGGAGGGGTGGGGCAAGGCAAGGAGGAAATGGAGGAAATGAGGCAAGAGTGTTATTTGTGAAATAGCAGTGGAGTGGGAAAAATCAGACACCAGAGCCTGAGGACCCCACAAAACAAGAACTAGCAGAAAATGAATCGTTTCTCAGTGTCTTCCCCACTACATGACTGTTTCTTTGTGTGTGTGTGTGTATGTGTGTGTGCGCGCACACACACACACAACAGTATTAAAGCTTAAATTCAGAGCCACTCACTCTTGCTTGGCTTTTTACTGAAAGGCTGGCATTCCATCAATTGAGCCATACCCTCCACTTCTGTTTTTTTTACTAGTTAATTGGAGATAAGAATCTCACAAAGGGGGGGGCAGGGAGGATTGGGTGAGGGGGGAGGATGGGAAGGGATGGGAAGGGGAAACAAAGGAGGAGGCTACAATGCTTGATAAGAAATGTACTCATTATCTTGCCCATGTAATTGTAACCCCTCTGTACAGTATTTTCACAATAAAAGAAAAAAAAAAGAATCTCACCAACAGACTTCTCTGTGTGAGCTGGCTTTTAATCACGATCCTCACATCTCAGTCTCCTGAGTAGCTAGGATTATAGGCATGAGCCACTGATACCTAGCTTACAGACAATTCTTTGCATATACCTTTTTTTATTTATGTAATAAAATGAAAAGAGCTCAGGGTGTAGATCAGTAATAGAGCATGCTAGCATACTGGTATACTTGAGGTTTTGGCCTTTTGATCCTCAGAACTGAAGAAAAAAAGAATAAACAAAAAAAGCCCACAGATGAGTTAAGGTGACACTTGGCTTTTGGAATTAGGTGATCTAACTTTCTGATTTAGGTCCTGTGATTTATGAATTATGTAACTCCAGACAATATAACCTGCTGTCTTAAACTCTACCTTCTTGGTATCAGAGGAGTACTAGGTGGAGGGAGCGGGAGAGAAGAGTACTGGCTGACTTCTGTTACTTCATTTAATCCATGGAAGATTAGAAGAAGTAGTCTAAATATATGTGCAGTGCAAGTCTGAGGTGTGGATCAAGTGATAAGAGCACCAGCCTTGGGCAAAAAAAACTAAGAAACAGTATGCAGGCCATAAGTACTCTCTCTCTCTCTCTCTCTCTCACACACACACACACACACACACAATCAACTAAATCAATCAATCAATAAACAGAGAAGAACAGCAGGGACTCCAGATACATGGTCCCTGCTGTGGAGCAGAGAAGTTAGATTAGATGAAGAAAGTACACAAAGAGATCTCCATGAACTTCCACTCAATGACAGCCATTCTCTGACCCAAGCTTGGAAACTACATCTAGGTCTTGTAGACAAAATCAATAGAACTGTCATTTTTGGACCTTCATATCTATTTCAAGAAACAGAAACTTACTCCTGGGCCATCAAACTGTTAAATATTGAGCTAATAAAGTCTCCTTTGATAGGGAGCCCCATAAGTTGTTGATGGGCAGTGTTTTTCCATTTCTTGAATGTAAGGGCACCTCATGAGTGAGGGTCTTAGAAATACTATCTAATACTTCTTAGGGTTTGAGGAGACAAAATAAGAAGACTTTTTTTGTTTTGTTTTGGTTTTGTGGTTGTTTTTTTTAATTTTTGGTGCCATACTGGAGTTTGAACTCAGGGCCTGGGTGTTGTCCCTTAACTTTTGCACTCAAAGCTGGTGCTCTACTACTTGAGCAACACTTCCACTTTTTTTGGTTAACTGGAAATAAGAATCTCATGGACTTTCTTGCCCAGGCTGGCCAGGAACCTTGAGCCTCAGACCTCAGCCTCTTGAGTAGTTACAATTACAGGCAAGAGCCAACACTGCACAGCTGACAAGCAGAAGTTTTCATCTGGCCCTGACCCTGGAAGGGACAGATGTGTCTGTCCTTCAGTTGTGGTCATTAAAAGCTTGCTCCCTGGTGATATAGATGCTAAGCTGGCTGTTATCCTCTCTACCTACTTCTTTCTATACCACTTCTTCCCAACCACTCATGCTAACTTCCATGACCTGATGTAATCAAAGGGTACTGAAGGCAGGATGGTGGGATCTCAGTAGCTTTTACCCTTCATTGGCCTCAGGCCCTAGGACAAGTTAACTGGGAAAGCTCTACAGAAAACATTTGATCTGTGCTAATGACTGGCACTTGTACTTTTAAAAGTCCCCACGTGATCCTAAAGCATAGTCAGTGTGAAGAAGCACTGAGCTCCATCCATGCAGGATCTCTTCATTTCTAGAACACAAGTTATTGCCTACCTAATGAGGTGGTGTGAAGATTAAATGAAATAAAATTACATAAGTGATCTCTTGTTTGGCTGGCACCTGAAATGTCACCTATTATTTATTCATAATATTTTCTGGCTTAAACAAGAACACATCTCATTGTAAGTAACATGACACAGAAAAAAAAATAAACACAAACAAGCACCTGTAACTTGA